GAAACAATGCTTCGACACGTGCAAGCGACGTTGAAGAGGAGAAGCTTCATTTGCATATTTCGATTTGCTCTTACAAAACACTTTGAATAACAACTTCATTTTAACAATGAAGAATACTCTGAAGGTAACTCACTCAAATATTTAGTTGCTTGATCATGTGTTTGATAATGCGACAGGCGCAAAAAGAAGAAAAGTACCGCTGGTAATATGTACAATATTTGGGCCGACCTAACTACATTCAGAAGCACCTTTTAGTTACCTAAGAATTTCCTATAATCTTAGCAATAAGTTCAAGTTTTCTGTCCAAATATAAAACAATTTCTATGACAATTGGACTTAGCATCAGTGACATATAAGTGTGCAAAAGTTTCATCTTCATGATTTTCAAAAGTCGTTGAATTTTCTTTTATTAAGATGTAAACTAAATCAAATGCAAACTATGGAATTCGTGGAGTAATTCATTCTCTATAATCATAGAATCATAAAAAACACCTGACGTTTTGCTGAAACATCAAACTGAAGAAAACAATTAGAAATAACGTAATCAACATATGTAAAAAAAAATTTTTGGAGAGGTGGCATGTTTCTAGTCTTATCCAGCGGTATCCTTTGGATTCAAATATTTTCAACATCGCTAATTCATATGAGTTGACTGAATCGAACAAAAGAAAGCTAAATTTGACCCGTGCTCCAGTTTCTACCATGCTAGTCGATGATCTCATTAAAGATCATTCAAAAAATGAAGAAATACAAGCAAATAAATGGTCTATGAAAAATTGACTTGAATGTTTCTCTTATATCTCACGCGTTATCTATGCTTGTCAGTCATTGGTACGAGGAAATAAAAGGAAAGAAAGAAAGAAAGAGAAGTAAATATGACTGAAAAACCATGTGAGCCTTAGTAAACATCAAATTTCCCATTACCTTCATAATAAAAGTGAATAACTCTGACATATACAACGAAAGCAACATTATTTATACTTTCATGGTTAACATGAAGACGATACTATATATTGGAGCAGTGCGAAGCTACTTAAGTAATATATCTTTTATTAACTTCATTCAACCACTTTGACGCAAAAGAGTAAAACGGAAGTGGGATCAGCAATAAGTTTTTCCTAATCAATGATTCGGACCGAATTATGACTGGAGTCAAAACATGATCGGTCCATTCACCCAAAAAAAAATCGCGGATGCAGTAGAATAAATGAACTTTGCAGTGTCATTCTCAATATCTTTATCCATTCTTATTGTTTTTGACTAAACTTTCTTGCAAAAGATTCAGTGTTAAATTCTTTACAAAGTCAAAGAAAAATTTGTGCAAGAGAGATAAAAACAAACTCTTACGAATAGGTCACTATTTAAATGCTTCGAAGCACCATTTCTGATACAATCATGTGTGCTCCATTTAATGGAACATAAGAAAGATTATATTAATCTAAAAATCATTGCAAAGAATCTATTGATTCGAGAACATGTCAAAATGTGCCATATTCGGTCTTTTTACTTTAACCTAATCGAAACAAAAAGGCATTTATCTGGAACCGAGATAGACCCACATATTATGACTCACTACCTTTTTAACTATTAAAAACATGTTCTAAAAATCTCTTGACTGAACTACATGGTCTTTTTAAGAACACGAAAAATTAAGGTACAAATATGATTCTTTTTCAAAAATCTGAAAAAGTCAAGCATATTTTGTACGTTAGAGGTTTCTAAAGAAAATTCTTAAATATACCTGTAAGATAAAGTTTAAAAAACTCTGCAAAATGCCTATTCCGATTTTCTCACATCTTGACATGAGAACATATAAACACAAATAAACTCTATTTTATGCATGAAAGTTCTTTATAATATATGGTCGTAATATCTCTAGAACTTTTTTGCCTTTTTCTCTATTACCTGCCTGTTCATATGGCTTTATAGAGTATTGAACGTTGACTCTTTCAAAAAAAAAAAGGTTCAGTCAAAAATGTTAAGAATTGGCAAAAATATTTAGAAAATATGGAAAAGCTCATTTATTGTGCCGCATTATAATATCTGATCTATGAATGGATGATCCACTCAAACATCTTTCGTGAATCATCCATGTAAACGACGGTCAAATTTGTTCAATTGCTCTCAACCAGTGTAACTAACGTGTACTATTTCGTGGAAGCGACAGGAAATAGAGACCTTTGGATACGAATGAGAAAAAATATTTATCGAGCTCGACTATGAAAATAAACACCTTTCCTCCGTACTCGAAACACTTTACTGCATGCTTTCCTCTAGATGTTACTTCAACAGGAATTGAAAAAACATAAAGAAGAACAACTCTATGTATTTAGAGTTTAACTGCACTCGAAGCAAACATATAATAAAAATAGAATATATGCCTATAGCAGCTATTGGCATTATCCAAGTATCAAGTTTTAGTCTCTTGTTTGCCACTCAACATTTATATGAGGTATCGTGATCCGGTTTTCGCCATATTATAGTCCATAGTGTTTATAAAACCCATTCGAAGGTTCAATGGTTCTACGTAAATATCACTTCTAGACCTTATCTTTGCAGTCTTGGGAATACCATTAAAAAAGTCTTTGACTACTGTTCTATAATAGTCTTTCAACCCATATTCGCAATTTACTTGTTATAGACTATAAAGGTAAATGTTCTTAATGGCATGTTTCAATGGAGCACATTATCCTTTTCAAGTTCAACTAAATTTTAAATTTTAGTTTTTCCCTTACAAAAATGAACAAATAAGAATGAGTGTAAAAATATACCATACAGTTTTGACAAAATCAGATATCTACTCTAATATGACATAAGTTTTAATTCATTAGGTAGAATTAAAGAGACAAAACGACATGCTTTTGTTTTTATATAAGAATATGTATTTTACGTGAACTTGTTATGGATTCATCGAAAAACATAATTATTGCACAACAACTTTTTAATGATACTTACTTTTTCAGCTTGAAATAAAGATAAAATGTTCTAGTTGAATTGTAAATATGGACAAAGTAATGCATTAAGAAAGACAGAACCATCTCGAAAATATTTAATAAATTGTAGAACATTATTAAATAAACATACTCAAGCCTGAAACTGAACCATCATCTAGGAATATTTCTTCATGAGTGCATCTTTATTCTTATTCTTAAATTTAAATTTGTTGTTGCTTTTTGTAGTCCTATTAGGCCTGCGTCATGGACATCATCATGCATGTCAAATTGTAAGAGGTAAGCTATCAACAACTGATTTATTGTTTCTTTTTTCAGTTTAGCAATGACACTTTAAGACGACAGAGCGGGTCTAGATGCTGTTTGATCCATTTCAATTATTTAGAATTCATGTTTAGATAAACATTGGCTCTATCCTCAATACCATGACAACGAACGTACAAAAATAAAAAAGCCTGATGAGCTTGAACGAGTGATGGAAGATCCACCTGAAAATGTGAACAAAACAATACTTGATCGTATTCAAGGTTCAATGGTGGGCATGGCTTTGGGTGATGCTCTCGGTGCACCTGTTGAATTCAGACCCCCTGAGTATTTTTTTACAAATCCAGTAACAGACCTTCAAGGAGGCGGCACTTGGCGTCTCAACAAAGGACAGGTAGAGATATTTTTCAGAGAAGTATCGACGAATATTTATTCCATAGTTAAACATATCTCCTAAAGGTAGTCTTTTCCAGTGGTCAGAGAATAGTACACATACCAATTTTTACTTTTCGATTCTGTTTTTAACAATAAAGAGACAGTAGAAAAAATAACAAAAACCAAAAATAACTCATATTAAGCAATTTTTGATTAAAATAGATTCTACTTTTGAAAATGATGTGATGAACAAATGATATGCATATGATGAAGCCTTAAGCTGAGAGTGTTTCAAAATCTCGATGAATAGTATAGTTTCGAAGAAGTGCCGATTTAAATGATATCAACTACTTTAAGTTTTGTCGATGAAGTTGATTTAGAAAAACTTCTCGATCAATGATTTTATTCTACAGTTCACTGACGATACTTCAATGGCTCTTTGTCTAGCAAGTTCATTGATAGCTCGTCGTGGCTTTGTTCCTTACGATCAGTTGGCTCGTTATAAATGGTGGTACAACAATGGTTATATGTCATCAATTGGAAAATGTTTTGATATAGGCATGGCTACTTGTGATTCCTTGCTTGAATTTCAACGACGTCAGAGAAATTTTGCCGAAAAATATAAGATTCCTTTGGAACAATTGGATTTTCTCTCTGACTTTGACCTTCTGGAAAAATTTAATGTATATTGTAGCGAGAGTGGTGTAGCTGGTAATGGAGCGCTTATGCGCCTAGCACCGGTACCTCTTTTCTTTTATCGACAACCGATAGCAGCTGTTGAATTTTCGGGCTGCAGTGGTCAAATCACCCATGGTGATCAAAAGGCTTATGATGCGTGTCGATATTATGGAGCTCTTATCGTAGCTACTCTTCAAGATGAATCGAAAGACAATTTATTAAGTGAGAAATTTTACCAAACCCACATATCATGGTTCGGTAATCAACGGCTTCACAAAGACATTCAAATGATTTCTGAAGGATCTTTCAAGAGAAGTGGTGGTTTAATGGATGGAATTCGAGGACAAGGCTATATTGTGAATGCTCTTGAAGCTGCTCTGTGGGCATTTTGGTCAGATGAAAATTCGTTCGAAAAAGGTGCACTCTCTGCTGTTAATCTAGGCGATGATACGGACACAACGGCTGCTATCTATGGTCAGTTAGCTGGTGCTTACTATACCTACAAGAATTTGCCTAAAAAATGGCTTGATCATGCTTATGCAAGAAACTTCATCCAATGTTTGAGCAAATGGATTACATATGAAGGAAGCAAATGGAATTCAGAACATGTATCAAGCGCGACTAAAAAAGAAACAAAATAGCATCAACATTAAAAAAAAAGATTTCTAATAATTTTTATTTGACTTATTTTTGCCTGACCTAATAATTGTAGAGACTTAATAGCAAGTAAGTATGTGGTGAGTGTCAGTATGGTTATGAATATTGGTAAAGAGAAGATCTACGCCCATGCAGTCATACGTACTCACACATTTATTCGCACCTATTATCCACCTATCAACATCCCATAGCCCAAGGGGGAAAAATCTCATTCGGACATCCCGAGCCATTGCAAGCAAAATGGATATGTTCAGTGTTTGTCTACTATCGGGTTAAAGGTCAACCACAAGGGAGGACGAAACTACTCGGGCATTCCTGTCCATTCTCAGCCATTCGAATGGCTTGGAATGAGATTTTTCCTCCTTACCATAGCCACAGTGTGTAGCTTGACCTCATATTCAAAAGAACTGGTTGGCTAATTTTTTAGACTTGTCAATGTACTGATGTCCGAATCACGTGTATGCAAAGAGACATCAGTCTTGTAAGCAACATCTAGCAGTTTTAGATTCACAAGACTACCTGAAGCAAGTTTAAAAACAATGACTTAATCGGCTTCTTAACTTTATCTAAAAGAATCAAATCTCTTGTTGTTGCCCCATTATCTGCAATATGAATAATATTTTCATATGTCGGATAGTTGGCGATCGTATAGATAAGTGCTTCAATGTCGTTCTCAGGATCATTCCCACCACAAAGCCATACTGAATTGAATATAGACTTTGTCGAGTCGATTTGAATGGAGATGCCTTTATTAGGTTTCTTCTCTGGATCACAGAAGGTGTGGGTGAGTGTGGATCACCACCGACACCCACACACCCCACAACCAACCACACCCACAACCACCCTCACCCAACTCACATCCACACCCACACCCATCCACACCCTGATACCTTTTTTGATCCACCTGAAAGGGGCAAATACAAAGAATCATCGGGCTAAAATGGTGTGAGTGTCATTGAAGAGAAGATCCACACCATCACCCAAACTCACACTCCCGACACCCGCACATACACCCCACTCCTGATCTCTTTATTTGTTGGTAAGATTTTTACAATATTTGTTCTACTCGTCAATGTATTTATTGAGAATTACAATAGTAACATTCGGTTTTTGAATCAAAATCTATATTATAAAGGGATTCATATTTATTTGACGTTTCAGATTTTTTGAAAAATTATTTTGCTTGAAATTATCGAAGATTTCTGTATTTTGATTGGGAAATCGTTTGATGTTGCTGAATGTGCATTTTTATATGGTTAATTCATAGGTATGCCTTGGAATAAGATTTTAGCTGCCTCATCAATGGTAATGAACGAAGATTTATTGATATTTCTTGAAGGATATTTGGTATTCTGTGCAATCGCTGGCATTAGATACAGATATCTCGCGTATGATTGATGTTCGCGGTAATTTCACATCGACAAAAAAAACAGATAATAAAAGACCTAAGCTAAATACACTTTCTTTTGAAAAAAATACATGAAAAAAAGAAAATGAAGAGCCTACGCATATAGTGCTTATGAAAAAAAACCAAAGAATCTTTCTTAATATATCTGAAAATATAAAAGAAAAAAAACACTATAATAGAAGTATTTACATGGAAAAAAGCGCACGCGAGTATACTAATAGAGAATTAGTATGTCTTTATCTTTCTGCAAGCTCAAATGAATAACTAAACTAACCAATAAAGAAAGAAAAACAACAAACATATTCGTATTTTGTTTTTGTCCATCATTCCAACGGTGTCCACCATACTGATTGCCTCCCCATGAAGGATTATAATTTGATGAATCATAACCGGGACGATTATAAAAATTTGCACTATTATAACCTGAATAGTAACCATATTGTCCTTGTCCTTGTCCTTGTCCATCTAAAAAGAAATTCAAAAAAAGCAAATTCATTTTGTTATAGATATATTCTTACACTGTCCCTGTCCATATTGATAAGGACCAACACCTATACCAGCATATGGAAAATTTATACCTTGTATAGTTCCATAACCATGTTGATCTTGATTGGGAGGATGATATCGCCTATCTTTTTTTCCTAATACAATTTCATTTTTATTATCTTGTTGTGGATAAGAGTACTTTTGAGCATGAAAAATTCGAGGATTCGGTAGTAATGGTTTTTGATTAATAGAGTTCAATACTCGATCCAAAGTTTGTCGGCGGCTACGACGAACTCGATTTCCATCAATGACTTAAAGTGCAAACAAAATCATCAGTAAACGATAATTAATTATTTCTATATCAGTGACAACAAGAGAGTGTGGGTGTGGGTGTCCTGGTAGAAGTTACTGTCACCCACATCCACACCCACACCGAAATTATAAAATTTTATGGTTACATTGTCTCATGGAAACGGGCATAGTCAATGTATTATTACACATATGTGCGAACGTACTTATTCCCTATTGATTCTCATGTAACATTTGTTTACCGTCTTTCGGTGAATGTTATTTATCGAACGAAACTTGAATAGAACATGTATTATTTTCTTTATTCTATTTTTGATCTCTAAAAGTATTGATTTTTATGCCTGTAGCAAGTTAATTAAATGAAAATTTTTCAAGTTTTCTATGGATTTCATGTGTATTTTATATTATTGAAATGTAGTCAAGGTTATCATTTTGTCTAATACCTGCTGCATATAAGAATAATAGTAAATGACTAGACTTACCGACAGTATAGAGTAGAAAGAGAGTTATGATCATTTTCCAACATACAACCATTTTGTTTGAATAAATTTAGTGGCTTATGCGAATGTGAAAACTAATTTTAAAAAAATGCTATGTCAATAGTAATGTATAGACGGTAGGACGAAGCATGCACATGTTTAAAAAAGAAGAAAAAAAGATTCGAGTTGACGAGTGTTCTGATCGAAGCCTTTTTCTCTTTTTTTCATTCTTTATTTTACCAGTAACAGCAGTAATAAAGTTGGTTATGATGAAAAAGAGAGGAAGCACGAAAAATTACGAATGGCGTACTTAAACAAAACTATTGCGAACGCGCTTTAGCTCAAGTGAACTTTTTTTCGCTGTCTTTCTGCATTTTCTACCCGATGACGGAGTTACATGTCTTTTTTTATTATTCCTGGTTTTTCTTTTCTTCTACGAATTTACCATCTCCCCCTTTAAAATCATGGTTGTAAATTTGTTGACTTGTTCCTTATTTATTCAGAAACTATACAAAATAAACACGTTAGATATATCTTAATCGTCTCGCTCTTGTACAAGTCCAGGTTAGCAAGTGAATTTATCATCTGAATATAGTTTAGAATAGTAATATTCAAATGTTCTTTCATTTTCTGTATCCAAACGTAAAAATTAAATGTTTTAAAATCGTTTTGTTTCATTATATGTTATGTTAATGGAATTTTTTTTTGTTTGCTACTTGCTACGACCATGGTGCACTTTCTTTGCGACAATTGTGTCTTGGTTCTTTCGCCCTTCTCTACTTTGTTATCGTTCTATGTATAAGAACATGAAATGTACGCATACCATTAACGCATAGCATACTAACGAAAATCATCATTCGCTTCAATGTTCTAGTCATTGAAGGACAAAATAAATTTATTTTCAACTCACACATACATATAGACTCTCGATTAATGAAAAGGAAAAGAATGACTACTAGTATAATGGTACATATTCGAGTGATGTATAGAATACATTCACATTAAAGTAAAAAACGAAACATATTTAATTAATTTTGTTCAAATTATCCGAATTTAAACAAATTACTGATGATAATGCTGTCGATCAAAAGGAAAAAACACAACATAACTGCAGTAAAACCTCCATTAATGAACACCTCTCTATAGTGAACACCTCCCAACTCTGAACATGGACACTCTTTTCGGTCCCTTCAGCAAAAAAAACCTCTATACAGTGAACACACATACAATAAAGTATGCGTGTGAATATGAAATAAGAGAAAAAAAAAGAGAACAGCGTTCATTCTGAAGTGGTAATAGGTCAACTCATTGGCGGTCTATTCATCACAAGAAAATTCATCGCGTGTATGAAACAAAAGGAACAATGAAAATAAATAGATCATGATGAGTTAATCAGTCGCATATAAAAGAATATCGCACCTTTCCATTTACACACAATTGTAAGTTGACGACACGACACGCATTGGGTGTGGCTGTGTGAGTGTGGGTGTGGGTCACCATCCACACCTACACCCACATCCACGCCCACACCCGCATCCATACCCACAGTCTTTCATTCTCAGAAAATCATTCAATGTTGAAAAACTTATACCTAAAGGACATTTTTTGCAACACATTTTTAGCTTTTTCATTTTCTTTTACTTTTCCACTAAAAAATAACTTCTATCTAGCATTTCACAGGATAGTACTCGACAAGCCGTATATTTTTTTCTGATGTCAAAGTTTTCGATAATGTAATAGTAAAAGGTTACTAGAGACTTTTTGCAAGATTTTTCAAATTGTTTACATTCTTTTGTAATGAAAAGAATTTTGTGTAGTATATTGCTATATGGAACTGGTCTAAGTGCAAAAGCTTCAACTAACTATTCTATTGCAGCTGAATATGTTGAATTCGATTCAATTATGAAGTCGTTCGCTGACATTTGTAATCTTTTTATTTCCATTCTATGAATTTCTATATGTTGTGTGAATGAATTAAACAGAAGAAAATAAATCTAGATGATTTATTATGTCCATTCTCCTTGACTACAAGTGAATTTGAAACGACAAGTATTCAACAGACTATGGATATTTGCTATACTTTGAATTGATTACGAAAAAGATTCTTTATGAAGACTATGTATGTGAGTTGGATTTTTCTGTTTTGTTTGTTTATTAGTTAGAATCGATTGTTGTTGTTTTCTTTTTTGAAGTTAAGAACACATTTATTCATGTGTTTAACTGATCTTCACTGAATTCATACAGGAACACTATTCATTATTATTTTCCTGTGATTGAGCATCTCCGACCCCGGCAGTTTTTTTGTCTTTCTGTCACTAACAGCTTTTCGTCTCGTTTTTTTCGCTCGATCACTAACGGTTTTCTGTCTGACACATTTTGAATTAATCCATTATTTTCTAAGAAACGGTTAAATCGCTTTCTCTTAATATCTGGTTATAAATAGATATGTTTTTCATTCGATCTAATCATTTATTGTCTCGTTTGTTTTTCGTGATTTTCGTCGTTTCAAATGGATTCTATTTGTATTTCTCGTAAGTTTAGCCTTTTATGTCAGAGAATTCCTTACACGATTTCAAAATAGATCGTCTTCGTCTTCTTCAATAAGAAGGACGATAACAACAATATGAAACTAAAATTGTTGTCCCAATCAGAGGAGCTTTTTAACTTTCACTATTAAGTCCAGTAGGTAAACTTTACCATGAATTGTTACACATGATTCATGCACATTATGTTCAGTCCAATGGTCGTCTAAATGAATTTATCGGTTCCGGTGTATGTAGTCTGCTCTGATGGTGATGGTCTGGAAGATCCGGTTGATGCTACTGCTCCACCTATGATCAATCAACAACCTAGTCATCCCGATTACAATAAATTCTTAATTGACAATATTCAGTCATTTCTCATTTTTTTCTTGGCTTAACCCTGTTGTTCTTCATTTCTTTCTCGTTTTTTGTTTGTTATTCATTTGTGAAACTATGTGATAAAGTCTTTTAGACTTTTTTTTATTATTTTAATAAATTTTTCAACTTTATCTCATTTTTTTCATATTGCATATTGGATCAAAATAGGAACTATCTAAATCTTTCCTAGTGTTGCCGAACACTACACTTGAGACATCCAACACAACAGGAAACAAGGGTATCAATAACATTTTCGAACTCACTTGCGTCTAAAATATAAGCATGTTTTTAATACAACTTCTAAATCAATTCTATTCTGTAGAAAATGGAGTTATCAGAAGGTTAAACATTTTCAAAAGTTCATTTATCCTGATAGGTGTTTTGCAATTTTTCAGGAACAACCTTGGTTTTTTTGTGTAAAACTGGAATTCCAATCGATTTTCTCAGAAGAAAAAAAACATTTAAGCAAATATTGAAAAATCAATGATCAGCAGTTTGGACAGTTTTTGAAATTTTACTGCTATCTCTTATGAGAAGAAATCATCATGTTTTACAATGAAAGTCTAAAATCACAGCTATTTTCTAGAATGTGATTTTCATTAATAACTTCTCCCCAGGTCAATCATTTCGATCGCCTGAAACAGCGTCTTATAAGGTCTAAAACGACTTTATTCCTGCATTAAACAACGAAAAAAGAGGGCAGTTCTCAGTCGTTTTTCGTACCGTTTAGTGTCTGAAATGTAACGTGATCTGACGTTTCTGGTCAAATTTAGTTGTATCTTTACGTGTAAAAAGTCAATAGATAATTCAAAAAAATATTACTGTAATAGATTCTTAGTGAAAGCTGATCAAAAACGAAACAGAATCATTGAAGTTTGAAAAGAAATTAGTCAAAAACAAAAAAACTAAGGGTGTGGATGACGAGAGAATAAACACCTACACCCACACACCATATCCCATACCCACACTCTTGATATTCAATAAAGACACAATGATAAGTAACACATAGAAAAAAGATGTGTCGACCGGTTAGACAATATTTAGAGAAGGAAAAAACAAAACAAAACGAATACATATTTATAGAAATAAATAGACACGTAATTTTCTTGTTTTCGACTTCATAGATAAATCTATCTGACAGAAAACATTCTCTGTCATACGAACGTTTTTTGTTTTGTTTTGGACGGATCTATTGATTTTCTTTTTTCGATTGATCATTATTAATAATAAAAGTTGATAAACAATGATTAGTATTATCATTAGTATGATAGTGAGTTAAATGTAAACGTCGTTTTGTTGGAATTTGTAATAATGATGTTGAAAATGATTCTCTTTTTATTGATTTTTTATTATCATTTTTATTAAATATTGTTGGTATTAAATTATCTTCTCTATGACGAATCTTTTTTCGATTATGTCGAGGAATTGTATTTGAACGATGATGACTAATAAATTTTCTTCCTTTATAACCAAGATCATTAGTTTTTTCATTAATTAATGATAAATTTTCTTCATTTTTATTTGAAATAATTTTCTGATCCAACTCCGAATTCATTTTCCGAGATGTTGAACTCAATAATGATGATAATGAAGAAGTATTCACTTTTTCAATTGATTTACCTTAAACAATGAGATTTTAAATGCTAAAACAAATTCATTTAAAAGAAAAATTCTTGAAAATTCTATTACAAAATAACTGATTATAGTTAATTGAACATTTAGATACTATCGATAATAATATTCAAATTCTTAATATGAAAAAAATGATCTAACCAAGTTTAAATATTGCGTTCATTTAAGCAGAGTATTATAATGCAATTCAATGCTCATTTTATGGCTTATAAAACATTGTATCAGCAAGTAGACACATTCAAACTCGAAATTCTTGATAAGAGACGAATTAGACTTATCGATTCAATCAGATCTATTTATTATAGATATCGATGTAGAAATCACTCAAATAGTTTACAGGAAAACCTCTACTAGTGAACACCTTCTTATGATGAACGATCTCGGATTCAACGGAAGGATTTTTGCTGTAAATGCTCCTCTCAACTTTGAGTAGTGAACGCTTTTATGCAGTCCCTTGTATACTAATGAATCTTTTCTAATGTGAACATGTTGTTTTGACCTGTTTCTATTCTCTGTCATGCGT